AGCAGCATCCGACCCCATTGTTTTGACAGGCGGTAGGGGAAGTGAGTAATGAGACAATATGTCACTTTGACAGCTGCCGACTCCTGACTCAAAACAATTATAAGCCACACACCCGCACACAAGACAAGCTTGCTGAAGGGTGATAATAGGAGTTTTATGAAAGTATCTAGTGACTATAAACCATACCCCCGGCCGGGATTGAACCCGCGGTCATAGAGTCTCAAAACTCCAGCCCGTCGCGCTAGCCACTAGACCAGCTAGCCACAATAAGATTCATCCAACTAGGTATATTTCTACACCATAGGAAAGTTAGCACAGGCACCTCTGTGACCACAAATGCAAGTTTTTACAGACGAATCTCCAGCTAGCGTGGCCGTGACGAACTTTAGCTCAAGTCCCTTCACTGCCGTCAACATGACTTAAGAAATCGTAATGACACGATTGCAAATAAACCATACCCCCGGCCGGGATTGAACCCGCGGTCATAGAGTCTCAAAACTCCAGCCCGTCGCGCTAGCCACTGCCGTCATGTTGACGGCAGTGAAGGGACTTGAGCTAGAGTTCGTCACGGCCACGCTAGCTGGAGATTCGTCTGTAAAAACTTGCATTTGTGGTCACAGAGGTGCCTGTGCTAACTTTCCTATGGTGTAGAAATATACCTAGTTGGATGAATCTTATTGTGGCTAGCTGGTCTAGTGGCTAGCGCGACGGGCTGGAGTTTTGAGACTCTATGACCGCGGGTTCAATCCCGGCCGGGGGTATGGTTTATTTGCAATCGTGTCATTACGATTTCTTAAGTCATCTAGTGACTATATATGTGTATATATATTATAGAAACCAGAAGCAAGAAGGGAAGGCAGGAATGAAGAAAGGACTAGATGAAAGGAAGGAAAAAAGTAATGAAGGACAGATGAAGGAATGTAGGAAGAGAGGTGGAATGCCCTCCAGGTAGCCTCCAGGTAGGAAAGGAATGAAGGAAATTAGGAAGGAAGGAATGACGACACATGACCATTTACCTGGGATAACCACATAACACAACTGCCTGCTAATACTTTGAAGTAAACTGCTCAGACGAGGTGTTTTGTCTTTGCACATAAAAAAAAAAATTCAACAAAAATGCACACACACTGATTTTATGTGTGAGAGTGTAAACCCCATTGTGTATGACACAATGTTTTATGTGTGAGAGTGTAAAACACCACTGTGTATGACACCATGTTTTATGTGTGAGTGTAAAACACCACTGTGTATGACACCATGTTTTATGTGTAAGAGTGTAAAACACCACTGTGTATGACACCATGTTTCACAGAGTTCCACAAGCTGCAGAACTTCTAGGAGTGTTCAGTGACTGTATATTGGTATATATATTATAGAACAATAGTAATAAACAATTTTTTGTATTGTTTGTTTTTGTAAACAAGTTTTGTAAACAATATATTGATAATTATGTTTGTGTGCTTATTGTGTTGTATACAACGAGTGTATATATGTACATTGCACCTTACTTTGGTCTCACAGGCCACATAATTTTATGTGAAAAATAAAATAGTGAAAAAAACAACAAAACCCTTCAAATACAAGTAAACTAAAGTTTACCGGTGTGAGCGGCAGTCGCCGCTGTTGCCATACGCGGCTCATTTTCTGCAAACTTCATGCCTCTATATCTCGGTAAGTACTGATGGGAAAAATTTTTTTTTGGGACTAAAACAATCAGAAAAATAATCTTAACATTTTCATAAGAAAAAATAATTTTTTTTTTTCGAATATTTTGCGACACCAGGAGACACTTCAGGATTATGCCCTTCGACAGTCAAAGGGTTAAACCAGAGACTTTGCAGTGTATTTTCGTATAGTATTTATGGTTGTATTCTCGTTTTCTTGGTCTCATTTTATAGAATGGAAGACATATTACAGAAATTGAGATGATTTTGATTGGTTTCATAATGAAAGGTACCTTGAAATTGAGCTCAAAGTAGCAGAAATGTTCGATTTTTACCAAATTTCAAAAGTAAACAAATCATGCCAGGCATCCAATACACATCAACTGGTGAGTCTAATATTCTTTCACAAGTGCGCTGATATTATTTATACCATTTCTATGCTAATGCAGTAGTCTGCATAACAGTAAATCTTCTATTTTTTGTGAGAATAAAAATTCAAAGTGGAAAGCAAAAGAAATGTAAGAGAGGCCTGGGAACATGACTAATGAACAGAGAAAATGTTATTTTAGTGCCAGGAATGTCTGTCTTGTTTATTCTGGACCCTATTTGGAAATTGGCATCTTTTGAATTTTGTGTGAAATTGGCAAAACTGCCAATTACTGACCACTTTACTGGATAATTGAAATTGGTAAATGGGTAGTTTCTTGTACTTATTTGATAGAAAAAATGGAGGTCTAGCAAAATAGTTATGATTTTTGTCGACTGGTACATTGGAATTGGCCGAAAATAGGGCTCAAAGTGGGTGAAATTGCCGATGCACAAACATCGTCGAGACCACTAACTTCGCGAGAACATAATTCCATAAGTTTCCCATCAAATTTCATACTTTTGGTGTCATTATGATCGGAGATAGAATCTATCTCATTTCATAAGAAAAAATAATTTTCATTTTTTTTTCGAACAATTTTTGACCCTGAGAACAAGTCTAGGAGAGGGCCTCTCGCCCCCAAAAGGGTTTTTAAATATAAAGGAAATAAAAAAAAGCCTTATAATATAGTACAAGAGTAAATATATTACGATGTAATATATAGAAAATATAAAATAATGGATGATATAAGAATATTATAATGTAAGATAATTATATATAAGATAATTACAATAGTAAGATACATTACAATAGTAGAAAAATTTTACAATAGTAAATATATTACAAAGAAAGAAAATTTTAAATGTAAGTATATTACAATAAAAGATATTTCAATAGTAAAATATTACAATAGTAAGATATATTACAATAGAAAGAAAATTTTAAAAGTAAGATACATTAAAATTAGTAAGTATATACAATAGTAAGATATATTACAATAGTAAGATATTTAAATATAAATATATTAAAATTAAGATATTTTTACAATAGAAAAGTTTTTACAATGTAAGATATATTACAATGAAAGATAAAATTACAATATAAGATTATTCAATAGTAAATATTTTAAAATGTAAATACTTTAAATAGAAAGAACTTTAAAATAGTAAGATATATTACAATAGTAAGATATATTACAATAGTAAAGATAAGGGGTACACATTCTACAGCCCCAAACTCGAAAAATTATGTAAGTGTTTTTTTTGAAAAGTGCTTTTGCTAATGTTTTTTGGGTGGTCTGAAACGGACTAATCAAAATTTACATTTTTCCTTAGGGAAAAAATTCTTTTCGGTAACGGCACTTGAACAGCTGTCGGAACGAATTAGTACAAAATTGGGTACCCCCCTTTATGTTGCCAAAGTAATATCTACAGTGCTTGTCACGGATTAGCCCGTGGGCGCCCCGACACAGTGCTGGGATAAAAAACAAAGCCTACCAACGGGGTTTTTTTTTTCACCCGTGCATTTGCTGGGGAGCAGCCTTAGATTTCCAAACCCGCCGCCACACTTCACAAGCTCTCATTTGCTCACATGGCGCCGTGGTGAAGGGAAATGTGCCTTTTTTTCTTCATCCCCCCTCTCTTTTGTCCAGTGTTCCCTTTGGTTTTGGGCTATACATGTTTGATTATGGGTAAAAGGAGGTCTTTAACACCTGAAACTATAGCTCAAATCATAGTGCTTCACAAACCTGGGCACCAGACAGCGTTTTAAGCTGGGGGCAGTGCCCCAAAAAACCCCTTTAAACATCGTGGTCCTCCAAGAAGACATCTGTTTGTACCTTCACTGTGTTAAAGAAGCAGTTACTCTCTGTGGTGTTAAGGGTCCCCTGTGGTGTTAAGGGGCTCCTGTGGTGTTGAGGGGCTCCTGTGGTGTTGAGGGGCTCCTGTGGTGTTAAGGGGCACCTGTGGTGTTAAGGGCAGATGCGGTCCGCGTTTTGTGTTAAGGGCCCCTGTGGTGTTAAGGGTCCCAGTGGTGTCAAGGCTCCCCTGTGGTGTTTGGGGCCCCTGTGATGTTAATTAAGGGCCTCATCTGGTGTTAGGGTCCTTTGTGGTGTAAGGGTACCTGTGACTATCATACAACTACCACAGTCTTCACTCCTACCTTCAGGAAGACAACTATCACAGTCTTCACACTCACCTTCAGGAAGACACCAACATTCTTCAATTTCTTCTTGCTTGATGCTGTTAATATTGTGGCTGGCTGATCCTGTGAAAAAAAATGAAATAAAAGAATAATTTTTACAATATCATTTATCAAAGCCTTATTGATTTTCTTGCATGCAAGAACATTATGTGGTTACAACATACACATCACCTTGCAACAATTTTTTGCAATAACTCACTCAAGGGGCATTAGAAAATGCAATACAGCCTCTCCTCACTTAACGACGGGGTTCCATTCCTGACACCACATTGGTAAACGAATTCGTGGCTACATGAGGAGCATACTATAATGGTAGTGGGTTTGTGTCAACTATCTCTGATAATGTTTTAATGTCACCTTTACACTATTTATAACATTTCTGGTATATTTTTAACCCTTTGACTGTCGCGGCCGTATATATACGTCTTACGAGGTACCGTGTTTGACATATATATACTCATAAATTCTAGCGGCTTCAAATCAAGCAGGAGAAAGCTGGTAGGCCCACATGTGAGAGAATGGGTCTGTGTGGTCAGTGTGCACCATATAAAAAAAATCCTGGAGCACGCAGTGCATGAGAAAAAAAAAACTCTGATCATTTTTTTTAATTAAAATGCCGACTTTGTGGTCTATTTTCGTATAGTATTTATGGTTGTATTCTCATTTTCTTGGTCTCATTTGATAGAATGGAAAACATATTATAGAAGTAGAGGTGATTTTGATTGATTTTACTATAAAAAGAACCTGGAAATGGAGCTCAAAGTAGGGAAAATGTTTGATTTTTGCCAATGTTCAAAAGTAAACAAATGATGTCATTGTCCAATAAATGTCCAACTAGTCATTCTAATATGCAGTCATGAATGGGTTGATGTTATTTATACAATTATTACAGTATTGCAGTAGTCTGCATAATAGTAAGTCTTCTATTTTTGTTTGAATAAAAATTCAAAATAGAAAGCAAGAGTAATATCAGAGGGGCCTGGAGACATGACTGATGAACAAAGAAAAATGTTATTTTAGAGCCAGGAATGTCTGCATTGTTCATTCTGGACCTTATTTTGAAATTGTCATTTTTTTTAATTTTCGTGAAATTGGCCAAATTGCAAATTTCTGACCACATTATTGGGTAGTTGAAATCGGTAAATGGGCAGTTTCTTGTACTCAATCGATAGAAAAAATGGAGTTCTAAAGAAATAGCTATGAGTTTTGGTTGACTGGAACAATGGAATTAGCCGAAAATAGGGCTCAAAGTGGGCGAAATCGCCGATTTGTAAATATCGCCGAGGTTGCTAACTTCGCGAGAGCATAATTCCGTCAGTTTTCCATCAAATTTCGTTTTTTTGGTGTCATTACAATCGGGAAAAGATTCTCTATCATTTCATAAGAAAAATTTTTTTTTTTTTTTTTGAAATTTTGCGACACCAGGAGACACCTCAGAATTGGGGGTTGCGACAGTCAAAGGGTTAAATGTTTATACAGTAGTGTACTGTATACTGTAATAAACAGAATAGAGGAAATCAGCTCTAATATACATTATTTAGGTATCCATACTGGTCACAGAGCCGTTGTAAGTCCAAGGCGTTGGTAAACGAGTACGTCACTAAGTGAGGAGAGGCTGTACTTTTAATTAAGAACATAAAAACGTAAGAAAGGGGAACACCACAGAATGCCTGTTGGGCCATACTTTCATTTCCACTTACAAGTCACACTGACACACGAAGGTGAGGGAGCCAGTATATATTGGAGAAAAGGATGGGCAAGACAGAGAGAGGAAGAAGATATACCTTTCATGAGTTTTGAGAGTCTTACTATCCTTGAAGCCTGACCATGGCTGAGGTTGGTCTGGTGCTAGCCTGGTCAATAAGGCTGTTGCTACTGGAAACCCATTGACCCACATATCCATCACAGCCTGGTTGATCTGGCACCTGAAGATACTTGTCCAGTTTTGAAGACTTCTACACTTGTTACAGCAGTGTGGGGCTATGAATGTTGATACAGTGTTCCCTTATTGTGCCCACTGCACCCCTGCTCCTTTACTGGGTTTATTTTGCAATTCCTCCCATATTTCTCACTCCAGTATGTTGTTATGGCAGTGTGCAGATTTGGGACCAGATGTAACCTAAATAACATAAACCTTAAGCCAGACCATTCATGATACAGGAATTCTGGAAGCGAGGTTTTTTGTCAGCACATCGGCTGTTTCCTCACTAAGGCAGGGTGATCCGAAAAAGAAGAAACACTTTCATCATCACTCACTCCATCACTGTCTTGCCAGAGGTGTGTTGATACTACAGTTTTAAAACTGCAACATATCTCCACCTGTCCTTCAGAGTACACTCACTGTACTTCCCACCTCCAGGACTCAAGTCAGGCACTAAACCCACATGGCTCATAGTGCCTGGAGAATGGGAGGTAATTTGGTTCAATCCATGGAAGAGGAGGACAACTCTAGTTCCTTGGATCAAGAACCCATCACCTCCCTATAGTGTACAGAAATATACCTAGTTACATGAATCTTATTAGAGCCAAGTGGCCCAGTGGTTAACACACTGAACAAAATTTCCCTACAAGGGTAATGGTCTCTAATGGAAATTACCAACTACAAGATGAAATACAATGAGAAACAATTTATCTTACACAGGAGAGCCCTGCAGATACAGCAGGGCCCCACAGATATAGCAGGGCCCCACAGATACAGTAGGGGCCTGCATACACAGCACCTCTTTTCAGTGTTCCACATTTTAGTTGGGTTCAAACTGAGCCAATGAAAATGTGGACCACAAAAAGAGGTGTATATTCAGTGGGACCATGCTGTATGTGTGAGGCCTGCTGTATATGAGGGGCCATGCCATAAATGCATGGGACCTGCTGTATATGTGGAACCCTGTGTATATGTGGGGCCCTGCAGTATATGTGGGGCCCAGCAGTATTTTGGGGGGTCCTGTTTTATTTTGGGGCCCTCCTGTACTGACTGTAAGATGAAATACAATGAAAGACACACGTTATCTTATATTACAAAGCACTGCAATTATCACAAAAGAAAAATCAAATTTGAAAAGTTCTCTATAGGCTCAACTCACCTCGTTGACCACCACTGTATCCCCAATAAAGAGAGCGTACTTCTTGCTGCCGGCATCACTGGCGGATTCATTGGTAATATCAGAGAAGCCCAGGTTGACATTAAAAACTTGTCCTTTCTTTGCAGTGGTTGTAGTCTTGGGGCCAATGAGAAGTGCGCTCTCACGGAACTCAATCCCCATGCCAAATCTAACAAGGGAAAAAATCAAGTATTAATTGTAAATTTAAAAGATTGCAAGTACAGGTGCTCCTAATTTTACCATGGTTCAACTTTATGATATTTCCACTTTACGATGGTGCGATCAAGAAACAAATAGGCACAATACCATGACTGGAACAATGAACAATAACCTGCACATAGGAGACAGGGGCTTATGATGACATGACTTTGTAAATGGTCCATGCTGGACCAAAACACCATCATACGCCCCTCTCTCTCTTATGTGCGGGTTGTATGTGTCATGGTGTGGTTTTTTGTACTGTACAGTTACGGATTACGGGAGTAAATTCTTGGGTAGTTCAGGGTAGGGGTGGTTTTGATAAAGACCTACCCTGTATGGGCCAGTAGGCCTTTTGCAGTGTTCCTCCATTCCTGTGTTCTTATGTAACCACTTTGTAAGCTGAGGACCATCTTTAAATAATTTACAAAACCCAAAAGTTGAAGAATGAGACTCTTATGCAACATCTAGGAATCTTCGTTGTAAAGATTCACAAATGTTGCACAAGTGTCTGACTCCTCATACAACAGGTGCAATGTTGCTACCACTCAACCAGAGTTGTAAAATCACCATGCTGCAGGTTCTATGGCTGTGTGGTTGCACAGTTGCTATGTCCATGAACCATGCTTCAAGTACCTGTTCATTCACCTTTTATTTTGCATTGGTGTTCATTAAGGCACACAATGTTAAAAGGAAGACCAAGTAACAATGCAGACAGAATAATAGAACGATCATCAAACCTGTTACCATTGTCGCATGAATGAAGTATGATAAACATGTGGTCCTTGACTTACGACGGGTTACGCTGCAATGAACCCATCGTAATTTGAAAATGTTATAAGTCGGATATGAAAATATGCTAAATAGGTAAATGAATAACTATTGCCTCTAAGTCAATAAACAAATAATTACTTTAACTAAATACCGTATTTAAAAGTCAATAAATGAATACAATTAGGGACTTGCTGCCTTCATGCTGGGTAATTATCTTAAGTTTCATCTCCAAAGTAACTGTTGCCACACCATTGTAAAGTTGAAATATCCTAAGATGAACCATTGTAAAGTTGCAAAGCACATGTATATCCCACAAAATGTATTATCCCACATGGTGTATACTGCATAAATATATACTGGAAGACCACAACATTGTGGGCAAATGTTTTTGTTAGTGTGAGTGTGAGGAGGATACCACTTTCTATTATACTTAATGCACTTACAATATTTCAACTTTACAATGGTGGGCAAACAAGTTTAAGAAAATTACCCCGCAGAAAGGAGCAAGACTCGCTGCTGTAGGGGCAGTCAAGAAGCAGAAGCAGCCCTTCCAGAAGCACTCCTGCTGGAGGTGGCAACAAGATCAGATGCAGCCCTGCCAGAAGACCTCCTGCTGGAGTGGCAACAAGAGCAGAGTGCACCCTGCCGAAGACTCCTGCCTGGAGGGGCAACAAGAGCAGATGCAGCCCTGCCAGAAGACTCCTGCTGGAGGTGCACAAGAGCAGATGCCAGCCTGCCATAACTCCTGTTTAGATCCATCAGTTATATAACTTGCGATAACTATATTACTACCATTAGAGAGAAACTTTTTATTTTTTCTTGAGCGTTGCTCTAACAAGAGATTTAAGGAAGGGATTACAAGCAATGAGCTTCTTAGGAGGACTTGCAGGTAATGTGAATATTAATGAATATATCTTCCACGGAGGGTGAAATGCTCTTGTTGCCTACTGTGATACAGTTCAAGCAGGTTATAAAACTTGATGTAATTGCACGTATTCACAATTCATTTAGATCTGTGTGTATTTACCTCAGACACTTAGGTAAGAATTCATTGTGACAGTGTCTGGTTCGTTTCTCACATTCTAATACCAGGTACAGTGTTAATCTCAATAATCCTATAAATCAACTGAAGACTAGAAATACCAAGCTCTCTTCTGCTCAGTTAAGAACTTTTGTAATCTGACAGCCAAGAATAATCCTGAGACTTCATTTGCATAACACCCAGGGTCGGAAGAACTTTCTCTAGCTAATATCCAACCATGGGAGCACATAATCATTTAAAGGACCCTAACATAGGCTATGACATCATTCTCACGATTCTCAAATTAGCACCATAGGGTTTTGGATTGTAAGCCATCAACAGCTTCTTGAGAGCATTTAGCCTACTTTCATTTCTTGTTAGTATGTTGTACAGTGGATTTTGTAAAGGTACATCTCACCACGATATCTGGGAAAGTTTAAACGTAGCTAATGATTCACCTGCAAACAGATGGGTGGGGGATGTCGATAGCTTGATAATATCTTTGTTTTATAGGAGATATTATGAGGCTAGTCGATTACAATTGCTTGAACTTCATTAAGAATGGTAATGCATCTTCTTATGCCCTGTTTGTATGGATCATGATATCATCAGCATAGCTTATAGCTAATTTTAGGTGAGGCCAGGTAGAGCAATTTAGAGGCATTAGTCAGAATATTAAATAGCATGGTACTCAGAACTCCTTCCCTGCGGTGTACCTAAAGACATTTCCATAGAATCACTTCTGAAGCCTTGTAAAGGACAGAGAGATACTCTATTTGACAGTTATCCTATTATCCAGCAGAGTAAGCTACCACCATATTCATTTTGCTAAGTTCATGTATTATAACGGCTCTGTTCGCAATATCAAATGCAATATTTAATCAAGAAAAGTGGTAAAACTAGTAGAGGTGTGTGCATTGAGAAAGGTGGAAATACAGTTCTGCACACTTTTACCTTTCATGAATACCCATAAGGTAGTGTGGACATAGTTGATGTCCTGATTCTGTAGTACAGTCTGTTACGTATCAATCTTTCAAAAGTTTTAACAGAGACAACAAGTATAAGGAGATCGGCCTAAAATGAAATCAGGCCTGTTGGGGCTTAGGATAGGCACAATGAGACTATTGGTCCAGGAAAGTAGGAAGAATCACCCTCAATGTAACTTGAGATTATACATGCCACAAAGTTATCATGCACGTGCCTTAGAGTTCTGAGAATATCATAGGTTATAACCATCCTTCATCCAGGAGTCAGTTGGATCGACCTTTAGTTAATGCATTATCTAATTCATACTCGTAAAGAGGCAATCACTCTCATCAATATTTTTTGCTCATAAAATTAATCAGTTTCAACAATTTCTTCATAAGTACTCTCTAAATTTATTCTAATATGATATGAAGGTTTTCATGCCTGGATGTTTTGAACGCAGATCCATTTATTAGGTCATTTGCTTTTTCAAGAGGAAAGGGGATGATCAACTTGCTTAGTCATTTTTCCTGTTATTTTATTTATACCTTTCCCCAAGCCAAACTTAAAGGGGTTGACCTATTTAACCACTAACAAACTGTTTCCCATACTGTTGCCTAAGTTCTTGCTTTCTATCCTTGCATTTGTATATGCAGCTTGGCCCGTCGTGAGCAGGTCTGGGTTCTACATTCACTTATGCTTTACCAATCCTCCAAGCTGCTGCATTGGTTAGTATTGCGTAGCTGGGATCATTATAGTATTTACATTGTTTTTTTTTTTTGTTTATTTATAGTGGAGGGTCTTTGTTTTCCTATTCCTGCCCACTTGATCTGTGAGACACTCTCAATAGTGGGTAATTAAATCATCAAAAAATTTTGAGTGCCAAAGGGCTCGTAATTCTATACCATTGATCCAAGTGGTAAATAATGATTCTCTGTGTTACTGGTTTGAGAATAAGTTTCTTCTTCTGTAATTTAGCTCCTTGATTGCTGGAAGATGTGATCAAGAATTGACAGTTTGTTAGTCTTGGGGGAGTGATCAATAGAAGATCATCAACTAAGACAGAGTCATGCATCGTATATGAATAATTAAATCCAAAGGCACTGATCAAGTAATGCCACCATATATTGTATTAGGCTCAGTAGTGCCCACAATTCGAACATTATCATGCTCATTATGCAATTGTCACCTAGTTGTAGTTTCCATTGGTGTTTGTCATAGACCCACCATATTCTTATGTCTGGCATATAAAATCTCCAAGAATGATGGTAGGTTCACATTTGATGTGATCTGGTAAAGCAACAGGTCGAAAGCTGGTTCGCTGGGGCATAGAGAATTAAAATTGTTTATGAAAAATCGCCTGCATATACTCTGAACCATGATACTGCATGTTAACTCGACCTGCAAGGAAAGGATGAATGTTGGCAAGTTTCTTTCTGAGCATACATCACACAACAGATGGTTGACCTTAGGTAAAAGCTGCAATATCCAGGCAAGTTTGGTGGAGGTGCTCCATATTCAACTACATTCCTGCAAACAGATGACATCAATATTCTTGATGCACTAATATGATGTAAGTCCAGGCCAACGCTTCCTGATGGAAGCACTGTTCCATGAAAAGATTTGTAGTGTATCCTCCCCATTGTAGTGAGTTAATACAATCTCTTGCTCATAAGATGGTAAAACATTATGCATAGACTACAGTGGTTGCAAGGCACTTAAGAGCAAATAGCATAGTTTGGTACGTCTTTTATCTCCGGACCTTTTATTTTAGCATTTTCGGCATCTTGACAGCCATTTAAAAGGTCAAGCTTTGAAGGCAAGAGTCATGGGCTTCTTCATACATTGCTGGAAGCGAACGGGGATTGCGCACTTTTGTCATCATCCACCATACTCAGAGCATCATCCTGATCATCCAGCCTGAGGAGTCAGCACATAAAACATTCAACTCTGACACCTTATTTATAGCGACCTCAGACTCCTTAATTACATTAGTACGACTCCCAGTAACCCAAGAAATTGCTTCCCACTCTGACTTCATGACTCCACAGCCCAGCTATCATCACTGTATTAAGTACGTTGTGTTCATGAACGATATGTCCATACTCTCTTGATTTTTTTTTGTACCTTGGTACTTAATGCTATTCCTAAACAGATACTTGATACTATTTTTTTTATTAACACCCTGGCCATCTCCACAGCACGGTGAC